CCCATGTCACATTCAATGCGAAACAAAAGACTCATAAAATATTTCAAAATAGAAAAGGGGTCCTTCCTGACAAAACCAACGAATCAAAATATATTGTTCTACCAACCAACTCTATCACAACTACGATTGAAAGAATTTATCTAAATTCAATATAAAATTTGTCGCAACTACGTCTAAAACAATAAAAGACTTAATTCATACAAAACAAGCTGAAACTTGGAATTTACTCTATTACTAGTAATAATTGCCACAAGGAATATATCGGAGAAACCTCAAGAAATATAAATAAAAAATTACATAAACACAAAAGGGACCTTTTACAAAACAACACATTAAATCCATTAGTTGCTTATCATATGAAGACTAACCATAATTTTGATTTAAAAAATGTTACTCTAATTATTATAGAAAACAATTTACTAACACAAAATGTCTAGAAAATGCTTCATTTAGTTCTTACATTGTTTCACCAGTCTTAGCAGATCTTCTATTATCACAATTGGGGGGGGCGTATTTAATAACAAAAGTGTTGGGAACATAAACAAAAAGAAAAAAGTATCGAAATCAGATCGGCTAGATTATATACTCAAGACACATAATAAGAAAATAATTATTTGTAAATTTCAAATTTTCAGCGCCTATTTTTCTTGCGCATGCGTATTCGCATCATAAATATAAACTTGGTCCGATCAAGTTTTAATGAACAAATCGTATCACACCAAAATTTGTTCCAATTTGTCACACGTCTTTCAACAAAAATTGCACTTAATATATAAAATTATATATATATATAAAATTATATATATATATATAAATTATATATATATATATATATATATATATATATATATATATATATATATATATATATATATATCCCTCCGATACGCCATGAGCAGATATGAAAGTACGTGAGAGATTCATGGAAGATTGAAGTTTAAATATATATATATATATATATATATATATATATATATATATATATATATATATATAACACAGTCTCTTCCTATCTATCTATCTATCTATCTATCTCAATCCCTTCCTATCTATCTATGTAACTCAGTCTCTTCCTATCTATCTATCTATCTATCTATCTATCTATCTATGTAACTAACTCAGTCTCTTCCTATCTTATCTATTTATCTATCTAACTCAGTCTCTTCATATCTATCTATCTATCTATTTATCTCATTCTATTCCTATCTATCTATCTATCTAATTCAGTGTCTTCCTATCTATCTAACTCAGTCACTTCCTATCTATCTGTCTATCTCATTCTATTCCTATCTATCTATCTATCTATCTATCTATCTATCTAATTCAGTCTCTTCCTATCTATCTATCTATCTATCTATCTATCTAACTCGGTCTCTTCCTATCTATCTATCTATCTATCTATCTTTTTGTCACGTTCCGTGTCTATTATATCACGATCTCACAATAGCCTCGTTCTTTTTCTCTATTTGTCTCACAATCTCCGTGAGCCACCCTTTCTACAATCAACTCTTTCATTTTCATCTAATCTTCATAGACCTCGCTTCCGTTTCTTGCTCATTCAGACCAATCCCACAATGCCATCTATTTTCCTAAAATGCCACCATTTTAGTCATTCTCCTAATGGTGGTACACTCGACTGGAAGCGATGGTGTCTAGTTAGTTGGTGGGTGGGTTAGTTTACTGGCGAAGTCGGTGGTGTTGGGCTGTCGGTGTTAGAGAAGGAAAGAAGGTGTGGCTGGGGTGGTTGTGTGATTGCAGTACCGCGAGGCTCGTTGGGAGTAATTACTTAAAATGTCAACAGAAATCATAGCTTTACGTTACATACTAACATCGAAAAGAGGACACGATAGGGTGGATACATTATGGGCGTGTCAGTGCACGAGAGTGTTTGCGATTATTTATGTATGAAATATTACGTGTGTGCGTTTTACTCCTGTGTGTACATACACATACCTTATTACTCCTGTAATCTTTATATATACGTTCGTGTATATATATGTATGTTGGCGTGTGTGTGTGCGTCATTTCGATATTCTACAACGCTATTTCTTGTGCGTAGAGAGTTGCGTTACCAACATTCAAAATGAAATCAACGAAATGATTTCGAGTTCAAGATGAATATTTAGTTATCTAGAAATTTGTATTCACTGTAAATCATGATTAAAAAGGTGTTACCATTGTCTAGAAGCCTGCATTACTGCTTTTTTTTTATCATTTTTACATAAGCAAGGCAATAAAGCCACTAAGACGCGAGGGGGCTACTGATTGTTTGAGAATATGCTAAAAATAAATGATTATTAAAGAAAGGGAACAATAAAAGAACGGGAATTAAAAGAATAAAATAATTAAAGAATAAACAACGGGAATTAAAGGAATAAAAGAATTAAAGAATAAAAGAACGGGAATTAAAAGAATAAAATAATTAAAGAATAAACAACGGGAATTAAAGGAATAAAAGAATTAAAGAATAAAAGAACGGGAATTAAAAGAATAAAATAATTAAAGAATAAACAACGGGAATTAAAGGAATAAAATAATTAAAGAATAAAAGAACGGGAATTAAAAGAATAAAAGAATTTAAGAATAAAAGAACAGGAATTAAGAAAACGGAAGAGAACTTTTGATATCGTATTTAAATTTTTGAAGATAAAACTTGACTGGAAAACAAGAAGCCAGAAGATAGTTCCGCATGTGAGAGATGCGAAAAATGCGAGAGAAGAAACTATTAGCATAGAACTTACGGTTACAGCTATCCATTTCATGTGTAAAATGATGAGACCTTACCGCCAATCTAGTACTGCGCTTAAATTCGTAAAGTTTAGCTGCCAAAGAGGAAAACTCACCAAAACGATTACCATGAAAGTATTTGTAGAAAAAGTACAGGGAAGATACATTATGATGATTGGAAAGTAACTGAAGTCGAGATGCCAGGTAAGGGCCAATAACAATGCAGATTCTCTAAATATATATCAGAAACACCAATGGCATTTGAATAATTAAAGAATATAGCTATCATGGAAGCAAAAAAAAGAGGAAGGGAGTTCCACACACGGGAAGTGTGAGACATGAGGCTATTGAAGTAGAAGAGATGGTTACATTTAACTGTTTCGACAGTGAAAGGGTGGGACCGAGATGCCAGCCTAGTAGCACGCTTAAATTAATGCAGTTTGGGAACTAGCAAATGTAGCTCGCCAAGGAGTTACCGTGAAAGTATTTGTCGAAATGACACAGGGAGGCGACGGCATGTCTGTGAGAATGTGACTGTAAACGAGATGCCAGATCAGAACCAATCACATTGCATATCCGTCTCTGGATTTTGTCAAGGACTTTAAGACAAACAGCAGAGGCTCCAGACCATATATGGCAGCAGTATTCCATGCAAGGGGAATGGTTGATTTATATATTTGAATGATGGACTCAGTCGAGAAAAAAAAACTTTCTGGCGCGACAAAGAGAACCGTCTTTCCTTGCAGTGGATGAAGCTATTGATTCGATGTATTTGTTCCATCTCACGTCAGCGGACAGTGTGAGACCAAGCAGGCACAATGAGGCGCTCTTGTACAGTTGAGCATCAGACATTCTAATGAGAATTGGTTTAATAATGAAAATACGGTATCTCTGAACAAACCATAGACTATAAAGAAAATGTTGAGGAGAGCCGGTGGCAATGATTCATTACTACAGGAAAATAACTCCACGAAACAATACAGACAACGATTACAACCAACTAAATACCCACACACTTCAAGACATTGCGATACCGGAGTAGCGATTTTGGAGCCACCTGATACTTTAATGTTGTTGCATACAAGTTGCGACAGAAATATCTCCCACTTCCAGGAATATCTTCTGCATATTGTTAAGGTGTTGTGGTGTCCTTCCACTAAAGAGTCTATGTTGGACTATTCCGCCTACTATAAGATTAGTAGGAGAGAAGGCCTTGGGGGAACAGTCGAATAGATTATTAAACTGTCGAACTCTCTGCCTCGGCAGAGAGGAACTCGGACGAACCTTTGCCGCGGGTATTTAGGCGGGTTCAAAGGGAATATTTTTGGCCAAGCCTACAGGCTCGCAGAAACCCACGTTAAACTCTGCCTTGTGGCACATACATTCATCGTGGGGGGGGGACTGTTAAATATAACAGTCGAATAGTTTGTTCAACTGTCGAACTCTCTGTCTTGAGAGGAGAGGAACCCGGATGAGGCTTTGCCGCAGGGCAAAGTTTCGTCCAGGGAGGTAGACAGGCCCTTAACCCGTTTATACGGGTTCAAAGGGAATATTTTTGACAGAGCGTACAGACTCGGGGAACCCACAGTAAACTCGGCCTTGTGCCACATACATCCTTCGTGGGCGGGGGGGGGGGTTAAATATTAACAGTCGAATAGATCTGTTGGCTGTGCTGATCAAACTCTGTACCTCCGGGCAAAGATTCCCAGAGGAGACTATGTCAAAGGGCAGAGTATCGTCTCGGGAAACAGCTATCCGACCCCGTTTTATACGGGTCTATGGGGTATTTTTTTGGCCGAGCCTACGGGCTCGGATTGCCCCACATTAAACTCGGCCTTGTGCCACATCCTGGTAAACATAACAGTATTAGATTGAACGCTGGCTCAACCGAAGCACACTCACTAGTCGTGTAATACTCTTCTGTTGTACTTACTGTTTAATACACGATATATCTGTAACACTTGTTTTGTTATTTCTTGAACCATTTAGTTGGTCACAACATAAGGCATTAGCTAGATAAAGTGACCACTGCCACTAATGTCTTACCATTATGCGGGAAACATTTCTGGGAGGTATTTCTGCCGGACCCTGTATAATGAAAATTTACTTTTGATCTGAATAACTACTTTTTATTCTCTCTCTTTTTAGTACATTTTAGAGCTACCTTAAATCCAGTCATGTCCATGTATCTTATATGATTTCTTTTTAAAACCATTTCTGTTATTTAAGGTGTAAAAAATTACCTTTTTCCGTTTAACACCTGTATAAAGAAAATGTTAAAGACTGAATCTCTTCTCAGGGAAAGAACTACTTGCCTTGACCATTTTTTCGTTTTTCTTTCTTCTGTAGATGACATAGACGAATTGGACCATCCCAGCAGTATTCCTGGGGCCGGCCGTCTGTCCGGAGACCTGTACAACCCGGGCCAGACAGTTGACCACGAGCCCGGCATGGGTCAAGTGCCGATTGTGCCGCCAGGGACGCCACCTATGGACGGCGGTTGGGGTCATTTCAACGGACTACGACCGACCACACCGTACCTGGGCCGCCAATCTCCTAGCAACATTCCCATTTCATCCCAACAAATGCTCTCCCTCGAATCGTTGCCTATGATCACCGGACCACCAAATGCATCGCGTATGATCCAGTCGGAGGTCAGCGAGAGCTCACAACAGAGTTATATAGAGTATCCACCAGCCTCCACTCAAAACCATGTAGAAGTCTACTAAATTATAAAAGAATGAATTATATATATATATATATATATATATATATATATATATATATATATATGTACGAAGGTAAGTCAAAAAATTATCCGCACTTTCGCCATAACAACTTCAGGTTTGTCACACTGCCGTCCGCTCGATGATAACTCACCTGTTCGTTCGTGATTTCCATCTCTTCCCGCTTGCTGAATTTTCTCATCAGTCATGGAGGTTGCGTGTCACGCTAGTGCGACCATTTGTAAAACGCCTCGAGCCACTCACGCGCTCCTCTGCGCGGTATTCTTCACGCCAGACGCTCGTGCCCCGCTAGCGGACCGCCGTCGGCGACACCAGCGGTCCTCTGGTGGCAGCCGCCGGCAGTCCATCGGTGGGCCGACGGTGGGTCACTAGCGGTCCGAAAAGTGGTAACATTCCCGAGATGACGGCGGGCCACTCAGTGGCAGATTGTTAGTTTGCGTGTCGGGTAGTGAAATGTCGCCGCACTGCGTGAAAAAGCCTCGGACCAATTTCAGCCCCTGACACACCTTCCCACCAGAGAAATCGAATCACTTTGTTCCTCTTTAGCGCACACTGCTAGCGGAGCGGCCGTGTTTACACTGTAACGGCAGCGAGAAAAGTGTCTAGATCAAAATCAAACTTAGATCACGTGATCAGAATAGTACCAACTCTAAGCACGCATGAGCAGAAGGCAGTGTGACAAACTTAAATATGTTACGGCGAAAGAGTTGATAATTTTTTACTTACCCTCGTATATATATATATATATATATATATATATCAACACACATACATTATACATTTATGCATGCATACATACATCATATCTATATGTGTGTGTATGTTGTGCATGTGTTCTGGACAAAGTAAAGACTGAGTTGTTTCAACTTGTTTATCTAACTTAAATATGGCAAAAATTAAACACAAATTTCACAATAAACTTTCACATACACAGTCGCCCAACCTCTTAGTCATTTAAAAAAAATCAGGTACCCTGCGAACAAGGAATATCTACTACCAAATACTACTTTATGTAGTCTTCCTTTTTTTAATTGTTTAGTTAAATCTAGTAAAGCCTAAGCGAACACAGCTGAAGAAAATTTACAAAAGATATAGACTTTTTCTGTGACAGAAGTTTTAGCATTATGAACTGAATCCTGGAAACTGAATTCATTTTCTTAGAGGGCTACAAAGGCAAATTCATCAACAATACAACTAAACCCCAAAGAAATTTTGAACGATAAATTGCTCTAATTAAGCGTCGAATAAACTTTCATAAGATAACCCAGTCTCTTACTAAGATATAAAGTCCTCAAATTCTACTAATGCTGACTATTTAGTACTTGTACTATGATATTCTCTGCATTCTGTTAATGGTCCTGTCTGACCCTTTCTTCTGGTTCTTAAGTGCTGACTCATCCGCCAAAGGGACGTAACTATGACAGCTCCCTAAGTCAAGGCTGTTTGGATTACAAACTTGCAAAAAGACAAAATTTGAACATAGAAAGTTCAAGCTAAAACAGATGTGAAAGAAAGGTATTCAAAAAGAGATACCTAGAAATGTCTTTGAAAACAGCAAAAGAAAAAAAAACGTTCTACAGTAACAATTACGACCAGTCTTGAGCGTAAAGATAACGGAAAAAAGGTTTTGGAGAGGAAATTCCCTTTTTTTTTTATTGGAATATTTGATAAAGGACGACAAAAAAAAAAAACAATATATTGTTGAACCCGATGAAAAAGTAAACCAAGAAAATAGAAGTAAAAAAAAAAGAGATTTTATGAAAAAGTTTATAAATATTTAAAAAAAAAAAAAGGACTAACAGATTAAAAAGGGGTCTTAAAAAATAAACCCCTAACGAAAAAAAAAAAAAAAACATAAACGAATGAAGACAAAACATGGAACTCTTCAAAAATGAAGGAGAAAAAATAATAGAAAAAAAAGTTCTTTATTTCCTGGCGGAGTAATTTCAAGACATGAGTAAAAAATTTTATCAAGACATGGCAGACGCTGCGTAGCCCAACATATGAAAAGTTTAAACTGGTTTAAATTCCCCTAAAAGTGTAATGTCTCGTATGCTCCATACCTGGAATGGTAAGCATTGACAAGAGGACAATCGCATGAAATTACCAAGTCAAAATATTGAAACGAAATTATTGGACATATGTATATAAGGGCAGAAAAAAAATCGTGTTCACTCTTATAAATATGTATAAACTTCGAAAAAAAATAGAAAGACTCTCGTAAATTTTCCCAATTGATTTAAACAATCAAATTGCGCAACCAAAAATTCTTCCTTTTTTTTAAAAAAAAAAACCTACAATATATTTCAGCTACATTCACATTTCTACAGTTTGTCAAATGATATAAACAGCCAAATGAAATTGAAAAAAAAAGAATTTTTTTTAAATTGTCTCTTGCGCGAAGACTAAACATTTGATCGATTTATGTATAAAATTAGAATTCATGGCGTAAAAGGTTTATACAAATGAAGACTTTGATGTAAAAAAAAACAAATTTAATAAACTCAATACCTCTTAAAACATGCATGAATGTAAATTAAATGAATGAATGATTATATATCTATTATATATATATATATATATATATATATATATATATATATATATATATATAATATTACTTTTCCATAATTACTGTCCAACCTTGAAAGTTATATTTATATATATATATATATATATATATGTGATAAAATATAATTTTTAAGGTATGCTCTATTTATGGGAGTAAATTGCTCGATATCAAAGATAGCGCGTTTATAAATTTAAACAGAGTAGACATAGGTATTAACACTAGATGGCGGCAGTTTGTTCCATGCTTAAACGTATTTCTTAGGCCATTTAATGCTTATACCTATATCCACACTCTTAATATATATATATATATAAATATATATATGTGTGTGTGTGTGTGTGTGTGTGTGCGTGCATGTGTGTGTGTGTTTTGGTGCGTGAGCTCGTAAGTAAGTATTTGTATGTAAGTAAATTTGAATGTACATATGTATTAGCAAACTGGGATTAAGATGGATTTCACTGTTTTGCGTTGTTTTGTGATTAAAAACATAATTTATATTTAAAAACAAAAAACAAATGAGTTTGAAGATTAAAACGAACATGAAATTTTAACGTCTCAAAACTTGTAAACTCTTCAAATGTTTCGTTTGGTTTCATTTTTTTTTTTTTTTTAATAAAAGCAAAATAGATATTTGGTTTCAGAAACGACACTAACTAAAAAAAAAAAAACAGTCAATAAAAATACAACGTTGCCTAGGATAATTAAATTTCAACAAGAGAATGAATTACTCGAGAAAGAAAGAAAAAAAACAAAAGAAACGCTACACAAGATCCTCAGCAAATAAAAACTCTGCAAAAAGTCAATTTCAAAAGTTTCATTAAGCGAAAACAAAAAATACAAAAAAAAAAAATGTTTTTTTGAAAAAAAAAAAAAAAAAAAAAAAAAATGAAGAGGAAAAAAGCCCCCCCTCCAACAAAAAAAATTCTATTTCTTTACTCGAGGTTACAAATGTTCCTCGTTACCCGTTACACATTTTCCAGGCTTGGGACCGACTATTCGCTGACACTACCTGGTAATATAAAATGACCACCCCCACAAAGCGCTTGACAGTAAGAAAAGTGCTTCATTATGGGGGATCATGAAAAAGAAATTAAAACAAAACATTTTTGACGTGTTTTTATTTTTATTTTTTTTTTTTTTTATCAGGAGCGAAATAAAGAAATTATAAAAAAACGGAGGAGATTTACAGTAAGACAAAATGAAGAAAATGTTAATATGTAATAAAAATTTAAAAATCAATTCAACATGTCTCTCATTATTTATTTATTTATTTATTTCACCCCAAGCAAGGCAATAATGCCACTAAGATGCAAATTGTTACTGGGAGTGAATCCTCGATTTTCTCATTTAATTACATCTCTTGAATTTATTGTTTGTACATTCATGATATCACAATGCTGCAGGTCGCGCGCGTATTAGCCACCTACCTCATGCTTGACTGGGTTCGCCGGCAGTGCTTTTTGATCCTTGATATTTTATCAACGTTTGCTTTTCTTTTCTTTTTTTCACCAACATTTCTATGCGTTACAAATTAAACTAAGCACAACTGACTATTAAAGGATTTTAAAATTTTCGGAAATTTTGACCTCATTCTGACATATTTTTTTTCGTTCAAATCCATTTTGATCATACTTAGCTACAAAAAAAAAAATTATATAAACCTACTATTTTTTATTATTCAACTATTTAACAAGAATTTAAATTATTTAACTTTTTAACAAAAATGTTAAAAATCACCGCAAAACATTGTTGATTTATTTAAGATAAAATAATCTATTATGACAGGTCTCTTATTTGTATTTAGATTGAATTGTATTTATTTTCACTTTATTATAATTAACATCAAAGAGAGTTGAAATTTCTCGGACACAAAATGAGGAAAGAGGGCTTGGAAAATTTGATACACACAAGACAGATTAAAGGTAAAAGAGACAGAGGTAAACAACGCATAACCTTCCTAGCAAGCTTGAGTAAATATAAGTCGGAATAACGTTTAGGAGAAATAACAAAAAACAAAATTTCTACAAAGGACAGGAAGTTGTGGAGAGCCATGACCACCGATGTGCTGAAGGGTCACGGTGCATAGAAGAATTAGTTCAGTCCCATTTTCAAATTTAGCCTGCCACCAATTGAAACTTGCTATAGTTACTGTCTCTCAACTGAAACCCTTACATGTTTGCTTGCATAATTTAGTGCCAGAGACAATGGATGGCAGAACAATGTTTAGGGGAGATAACAGACTAAATTTCATAAGAGCTACATGGTCAGGAAATTGTGGAGAGCCATGATCACCAATGTGCTGAAGGGTCACGGTGCATAGAAAAGAAGTTCAGTCCCATTTCCAGATTTAGCCTGCCGCCAATTGAAATTCTCACATGGTTGTTGAATGGGTTAAAATTATTCAACTTTT